GAATGCCCCTCTCCGAACTAAAACTCTGCAAGCACCCCAGTTGCTTCTGTTTTTCTGTAGTATTAGTCAGGGCTCTTTCAAAGATCAGAATTGGTTATTAGAAATTATTATTAAAAGATTACTTAAATATATATTAAGATTAATTAAATGTCTTACTACAGTTGGGGTAATCCAGCAGCAGCTGTCCTCATACTGGACAGGCTTAGCTCTCAAGTGAGCTGCTCAGTCCATGAGGCTGGACACCTCAGCAGTCCCTACCTAACGCTAAGGCCAGGGGAGTCCTGGAAAGCCGTTGGTCTTCAATGTGCATTGGAAGCCAGAAGAAACGGATGTTGTGGTGGCGGCAGTGGAGTTGACGGAGTTACCAGTAAGACATGAAGGCAGTGAGGCAAAAATCAAAGCTGTTTCCTCAGACCTCATTTATCTGGGCTCTGACCTGAAGGTGCTGCCAATATGTGGGGCAGGGTCTTCCACTTCAGATAAACAGATCAAGAAAAGTTCCTCACAGGTATTCCCAGAAGGTTCTTAGTCGACTCCAGATCCAGTCAAGATTAACAACACACTCACCATAGCAGGTCTTAGAACTTGGGTTTGTCTCACAGTGCTTCCCCTCAGGATTGGCATGGGGCGATTGGTGTCATCTACAACGCCCTGCGCTAAGTGATGCAAAATAAATGTGTCTTTGAATGAACTGAGCTACCATAAAATTGGCAAAGCGGCACTAGTTTGGGAACATTCCGTGGTCAAGTTAGAGGAAACGGGACAACGGGACCCGAAAGGTCAAGAGGAGCAGAGGCGTGCCTCAGAGCCCACTGGAGGTCACTAGTCTTCACTCTTAAGGGACAGCCACGTGATCAGCCATCTTCAACAGAGCCCAGGGGCACCATCTCTGTTTTTCCTTGTTCCTGACCTTGTACTCATCGGATGCCTGCCATAGCACGCACGAGTGCACACACACCTTTTTTTTTTTTTTTTTTGGTTTTTACGAGACAGGGTTTCTCTGTATTGTTTTGGAGGCTATTGGTCCAGCCCGGCCTCGAACTCACAGAGATCCGCCTGCCTCTGCCTCCCGAGTGCTGGGATTAAAGGCATGCGCCACCACCGCCCGGCCACACACACACCTTTTTGTTGTGGGGATGGAGAATCTTTCCTTTCTTTGTCCTTGTCCAGAGCGTAGTCACATGACTGCTCCCAGGTGGAGGAGGAGAGAGCTGCCACCAAAGGCATTCCTGTACCCTAGTTGGGCTCTTTGCTGTTGTTAAGAGCTGTGGGCTAGACACCAACCGCACATGCCAATAATTTATGGCAAGGGAGGGGAGCTTCAGGGCTAACAGGGGGGGCCCATTTCCAGAGAAGGGACGGATGTGCTTCCAAGAACTTTGGCCTTTTGCGGTGACCAGAAAAGGAGCTATGGATCTTATAGAACCAGACCAGAGAGTGTTCTCTGCTTCCCATTCTCTGCCTGCAAGGAATTCTTTGAGTGTGTGAGTACTGGGGTGACAGGTGTGTCTCCCGTATCTGCTGAAAGTGATCTGAAAACAGATCTTAAGCAATCCCCTGCATCAAGAAGGATATGCACAGCTTGGCTCCATGGCCTCGACAGAGGAGGCTGCACAGTAAATGTTCATCAACTTGGGGGATGTTGCTAGGAGGCAGTGACCAAAGGTAGGCCCTGTCTGCCCACACTCTGAGGTGACATGGCCCCTTACTGCTCTCTGGCATAGAAGAGAGGCTCACATGGGAGTGTTAAGACCCAGGTTAGACCTGAGGGGCCCTCCACTCACATTCTAGGAGCATTAAGCGTAACCGGCATGAAAAATGAATACAAATCAATTTGTGTCTGGATTTACTCTCAGAATTCCCTGTGGACTCTAAAATGCCTTTTTACCCATTTTCCACCCATCTAGCTGTGGAGGCAATGGCAGATTTACATTAGTTTACATGCAGTTAAGATATTTTTTTCCTTTTGGTTATGTTTTTAAGAACATTTATTGCCTATAAAGAGGTGTTATTGTTAAAGACAATAGTGCCCTTTAGGTAGCAACAGAACGTTATTTTGTAAATGCCAATAAAACTGTTTCACAAGCCAGGATGGCTGGGGCTCTGATTAAAGGGTGTTTTCCATTCATTTTTATCTTGGAAGCCACCACGAAGTGGCTTTGTACCATCACTCCTGACACGAAGAGCCATGGGTAAAGGTGACCTGACCACAGGGACGGAAGTTACTCCAACTGCCCTTCCCAACTTTCATGTATGCTGCGGCTCTAGTTAAGGGCTCTGCTTACGGCAGTCATGCAAAGATTCTGACACTTAGAAGCTGTGTTTCTGGAGCAACTAACTTGACCCTCTGTACTTCAGTTTCCTCTAAAGTGGGAGTGGTAATAGCAATATAACTTTTGCCTGGGGGTTAAAAGATTCGAAGAGGTTATTTCCAAGGACGGGGGTGTAGCTTTAATTGACAGAGTATGTGCTCAGCATGCTCTTCATGTTGAGTTTGACATTCAACACTCCTCTACCATTAAAAAATATTATGTCTTGAAATGCATTAGGCAGTTCTACACTGAGAACTCCCCTAATGTCTCTAAAGAAGGGAGGTGAGAAAGAGGGTTTGGGTAGGAATCTTTACCATGTTGAATTCTTCTAGACAGTCCAGATAGCTGCTGTCTCACTTGCCTGGAACTCCTGCATTCCCCCTTGTCTGGTATTGTGTTGTTTTTTTTGTTCATGTGTGGAGAAGCATTTGGACCCCTTGCTGAATTGCCCAGAATACAGATTTTCCTAGGGAGCAGGCAAGAGTGACACTATTTTAGGACTGGGACTTAACTGGAGCACACTGAGACTACTGGTCAACCCCAAAGTTCAGATTCCACTAATGGTGGTGGATTTAAATCGTTTGGCTAGGACTGCACTAAAGTGAATATTGTATCATAAATGGGACTTCAGGGGGAAAATATTAAGTCTTGGCTGTTACAGCAAAATGCCATAGGCTGAGTGGCTTGTGAACACTGAAGTGTTCCTAGCTCTAAAGACTGGATAGTTAAAAGAGTCTGGTCCCTATCAAGTTCAATGCATGGTAAGCACAACTTTCTCACTGATAGTGCCCCATTCTCTGCCTTGGGAAAGCTCTACTCGGCTTCACTGAAATTGCTCCCTCCTGAAGCTTCCTTGACCACATGTGTGTAGAATCCTGGCTAGCCCAAAAGCACTCAGGGCATTTATGGAGTGATCATGAAGCCTGGAACTCTATGCAGGATCCCGGAGCAAGGTCTTCTCTTTACTACTGCCTGTACTGAAATCCTAGCTCCCAGGGTGACAGCGCTTGGTGGGAGGAAAATGATGGGGGCAGAGGCCTCAAGAGTGGCCTCAGAACTACAGTGTCCCCATAATGAGACACATAGGTCTAAGGGACTTGACGTGGAGACAGTTGCCAAAGAATACATGGCTCTGAGAACCTGCCCAGAGTTTCAGATGCCCTTGTGGGGATCTGTGAGTTGTATGTCCTGAGCTCAGACATAATTCTAAGGGTAATGGCAGTTCGATTCATCATCAGTTACCATCAGAAGTCAGCTACCATCCACTCCGTTCACTGAGTCCGCTGTTCAGTGCGGCCCCAGTCCCTGTTTCCGAATGCACGTATACTAACCCAGTGCTACAGTGGTGACTGTCATTACCACCACTGTCTTTCAGTCCTTTAGTGCACTATCTCCTTGACCTCTGTGACAGGGTTAGAAGGCGGGTGCTGCTATGCACACTTTACTTTCTGCACTGCAGGGAGTGGAATTCGGAGTCTCATGCATGCCAGGCAAGTTCTCTATCCCTGACATAGCTCCCCATCGCCACATGCACTTCTGGTAATCCTAAGGATCCCCACGCTCCATATTATCTGTGTTTTCACTTCTTTTTAAGATTTCTATTATAAACTTTATTATGAAAACAAAATCTCCCACACTAAAATTAATCGGATGTAAAATCTGTACACCTTAACGAACTTCTAGACAGTTAGAAGTGTTTTTCATTTCTTTCCGGACCCATGCTTTTATCCTTTCGCATTCCCCCAGTAAGCCAGGCCCCCAACATTAACAAATTGTGCATTTCACACTGTACCCAAGTCCCCAGCTCATTGGTAACAGTGCGGAAGAATCTGGATCATGCTAAGCTGCTTACAAATCCTCTTTGCTCACCTCTGAGTCAATCCTCCCCAAGGATCTGTGGCAGGAAAAACTTTGGTTTTTTAGATCTATGTATTTGTTCTTGGACAAAGTAAACCTGGAATTGCTTTTAGGTTATTTTTCGAACTATTCCCTGGCTCTGTTTTCTTACATACACAAAGACTCCCTTCCCATTAGTTAGATTCTCAGGTTTTGCCACACTGGGAGAATACATTAACTGACACAACTTAAGCAATGGCACGGGAACGTAATTAATGCAAGAATAATGGAGCAGGGTGGGGATCCTGGTACCTTAATGAGGACTCAGAAACATCTGACTGCAGATGTTGAAAGCAGAGGAGGAGATGAATGCTGGCATAATTAATGCTGCATATTAAAAAGTGACCTCCTTGGTGTGATCAATACAGGGACCTCATAACCTTTCCTGTCACCTGGACCTTCACTTCTGGGACTCTGTGGTTCTGTTAATAAAAACGATAATCACCAGTCTGTGCTCCTTTGCTGTGGAATCTTTCCAAGTAATTTTTTTTAGGATGAAATTAGAAATCACCATTTTTTGCAGAATTTGTATGTATGTATATATTTTTGTCTCTAATATATGTATTCAGCGCTCGCTACATAATGAGTGCTTTAACTTTCTGTTTTCCTTTCTGTTATCCCTGAAAAGAACGGATTACAGATAAAAGATTGAAGTAGTATAATGCGATACACTGTTCACTAATGCGCTGTCAGAGGTATTAGTAGGACTTGTCATGGTGTGCCTTTTGTGAATGCCTTTCATTCTGTAGTTACCTAATAGGCTTCAGACCCTGTTTGTTTGTATTCTTACAGGCATTAAATGTCGTCTTTGAGAAAATCCCAGAAAACGAGAGTGCCGACGTTGTTCGGAATATTTCAGTCAACGTTCTTGACTGTGACACCATAGGCCAAGCCAAAGACAAGATTTTCCAAGCATTCCTAAGCAAAAATGGTTCTCCATATGGACTTCAGCTCAATGAAATTGGCCTTGGTAAGGTTTCTTTCAGATCCCTGAAAAGCACCCCCCTACCTTCTTTCTGTTTGGTGACAATTATGTGGCTTCAGTTGCTCCCATAGGGACCCAGGGACTCCTGGGCTCTCTTTTGTACTTATTGATTCTTCCCAGGAAGCATCATCCTCCCATGATGCTATTTTAAAAACACCGTATTTGTAAATCAATGTGATTGCTGACCCCGGGACGCCATGGAATCACCCCGCACCAACAAGTACAGGAAGGTGTAAACCCTGTGCCCTCCGAATGTTGCACTTCACTTTGGCATTTGATTTGTTTGTTGTGATACGGAGCGTGTCATTAGTGGTGGCTCAGCCACAGAGTGTTAACTCCAGCCTGCTGGAAAGGTCATCTTCCTCTTTGCTAATCACATCCTGCATTAAGTGTATTCTCTGTTCTCCCCCAACACGAAGCAGCATCTGCTATGAATTCATTTGCGGGCTCTATTGGTATACTGCAAAGGAGAGCATATGTGTGAGCAAGCTAACAGGGCTCCATCTCTCCCGAATGTTCATCAACATTTTAAAGTGGAGCTCAGCGCAGCCCTCCCAAGAGACTGCTGTGGGATTTCAGAGCAGATAATGGGCCAGGAGAGGAGAGTGGAATCGTGGCAATGACAGACAGCATAACAAGGTTCATCTCCCCTCCATGTACAGTTGTAGGCCTCCGCTAAGCTGGCAATTAGAATCCTCCCCCCACCAATCAAACCTCCTGCTAAAACCATTGAGAAAAGCCTGGAGGCAGGCCTGGGAAACTTGGGGGAGGCCGTGCAAACGTGTAGTAACTCCAGGGTCTGCTTCTAAGAGAGCATGCTAAGGCGCTTCTCTGCACCAGTGTTTTGTTCCCTTGCATGGCCTGGGGTACCCTGGCAGCTTAAAGAGGGCCTAGCTCCTGTGCTTAGATATAAGCAGAAGGGGCAGCCCCATCTAGGAAACTGAAGCTTGACCCAAACCATCAGTTAACTTGTGTTGAACATTATCTTATGTGTGTGGCTCTGACCACAAAGGACATGGGCACACCCAGCCTAATAACCACAGGAAAACGGCCCAGCAGCGTTCTCTTCACCGCCGAAAAGTCCACAGCAGGGCCTGCAGGCCCTTCCTGGGCTTGTGCCACTCAGGTGTCCCACCCCCAACCCCGAAGTTGGGAGGTATGGGTGGAACAAGCTGGTGGCACTGTGTTCAGATGGACAGAAAGCATATATGCACAGAATGTCACCATCTAAGAGTGGGAAATAGCAGAGCCTCACCTAACTGGGAAAGATTTGTCATCTAAGACAGCAGAGCCATTTGGGTTCTGCAGAAGTTGCCTTGTGGGTTGCCATAGACAGTCACCAGATTTTGGGGGGGGGGAAGGAGTGACAAGGGGACATGAGACAGGTCTCAGTATTGTAGTCCTAACTGACCTAGAACTCATTATTGAATCCAGGCTAACCTTGACTCTGTGATGATCCTCCTGCCTCAGCCTCCTGAATGTTGAATTTATAGGCATGAACTACCTACCATATGTGGCTATTGCTAGATTTAAAATTTTTTAAATTATATTTTTATTTATCGTGTGTGTGTGAGTGTGTGTGTGTGTGTGTGCACTCACATGCACCCTTGTGTAGATAGAATACAGTGTGTGAATTGGTTCCTGCCTGCTACCATGTGGGTGCTGGGAATAGAACTCAGATCATCATGTTTGGAGGCAAATGTCTTCACCAACTGAGTCATCTCCCCAGCCCCCATTGCTGGATTTGTTTGTTTGGTTTTTTTTTAATTTATTTTTCAGTTTAAATTTAGATAAGAAGCAAGGTTGCTTCACAAGTCAGTTCCAGGTCCCTCTCCCTTTCCCTCCCCTCTGTTTGTTTAATTTTGAGACAGGATTTCTCTCTATTGCTTTGGAGCCTGTCCTGGAACGCTCTCTGTAGAGCAGGCTGGCCTTGAACTCAGAGATCCACCTGCCTCTGCCTCCCTAGTGTTGGGATTAAAGGCGTGTGCCACCCACACCCAGCTCCATTGCTAGATTTTTTTAAAAAGAGAAATCAAAAGTCCAGATTTTTTTGTGCAACTTCCACATATTTAAATGTAGCTAATGAGTTGCTAATAATAACAATTCATAAAACACTGCACAAATTCAAGAAAAGAAAACACTATCTGTGGCTACCTTCTGACTATAATGACTATAGTGCACTAGCTGGGATGTCGTGTTGGTGTATGGTGACTTGGCTGGAACCATGCAGAGGAGAGTTCACACTATGCTCTGTGAATGAACATGTACACATACTGGTGACACCGGAGGTATTTCTTTTGAAGGTTTTAGTACCTCAGATGATGGGTGATTCTGTCTTCAGGGTCTCCACTTCCAGACTTGATTCAGCATGTTTCAGGGTCAGTTGTCTGAAATATTAGGCCCTAAACACAAGCCCAAAGCCTTTGTCTGTCTGGCTGTCTCCACACCATCCAACAAAGTGTTGCCACTTCATTCAAGATTATTTATTTACCAGTAGTATTTGTAGAAGTGACTAGGCAGCACGTTTTTGTTTTTTGACTGTGACTTTAGCAGGGAATCACACCCTCCCCTCCCCTCCCCCTCCGCCTTTTTAGAGCTTCAAGTGGGAACACGACAGAAAGAACTTTTGGACATTGACAGCTCTTCTGTGATTCTTGAAGATGGAATAACCAAGCTAAACACCATTGGCCACTATGAGGTAAGACTCACCCTTTCTTTATCCACTGCCCTAACTGGATTGAATAAGCCGTTTAAAAAAGCCAAACCCAAACAAACCAAGACTCCCTACTTCTGAACGGTTTGCAAGTGGCTTGTTAGGGCCCAGTCTCCTTCTCTGCTCATTCAGAAGAGCCCACACATCATTATGTCTATTGGTGTCCCCATCACATGTCCCCGTACTCACAAGGCTCATTGTCATGCTGCCTGATTCTCCATCTTGCCATTTAGGTCAGAAGCTTTGCCATGGCAAGACTGTCTGTCCTTGTGCAGTGTGTTCTTAGGGAAACTGCGTGTGATTTATCACATGTGCAAATCCCCATGGCATGTCAAGAGTGTCAATGCTGAGCCAAGTAGACTCCTCAGCCTCACCTGTCTCCTCTGTGCTGGCCTTGTGACCTTCTGTGCAGCAGCCTTGTTCTGAAGATGTTACACATGTCCCTATTTGTTTGCACTATTCAGTGATGGCTCCTTCAGCCCTGTGACCCATGAGCTGAGTGAACGCTGCAATCAGTGCAGGGTGCACATGACTTCTCAAAGACCCGAGTGCCAGGGAAGCCTGTCTATGGCAAGACAGGAGGCAGGGAAAGTTCCTGAAAACAGACACTGGGATTCACTCAGCAGCATTGAACGGATAGTCCAGATCTGCTGAGTGTCTGTTATGGGCTACGAACTCGGGCTGCAGGGGAGAGGAATGAAGTCCAGGCCACTGATTCAATGAGCCTGCAGCACCCAGGAGGGAGGAAGGGAAAGGTAACACTTTCTGACACAATAGTGCTGTAGCTTGGAGACTCAAAGGAGGCTTCCCATGGAAGCCACAGCTGAGCTGAGACTAAAGAATCTGGATGGGTTGTAGCTGTGAGTACTTCTAGCAGGCACGTTGGACAGAATGGCTTTCAGGCAGGTCAGAACCCATGGAGGAATTGTGCTAGTGAGAACACTCTGGATCACATGCTGACTCAGCCGTTTGCTAAATTTTGGCTAGTCCCATCTTTCAGTAGGAGCCATTGCTAACCCACCTTATGGATGCGTTCATGGAGACTGGGACTTAACCAGAGAGGTGGAAGGAAGCCAGAAGGGGACCATGCCATCCCTCTGGTCTTGTCCATCTGATTACTCTATCCTGTCTCGAGGACCTACATTTGTGTTTCAGAAACTGATTGTGATGGACAGGAAGTAGGGAGGCCCACTGGAAGCTGTGGGAGAATTTGAGAACAGCAGTGTCCCTAGGGATGGGGGTAATGTGAATGGTCACAGTGGGCTCAGATGGTGGGCACTGCAATCCTTATGCATGGAAATAGTGGGGGGGCAAGGCTGGCACTCAGGAGGGGCAGATGATTTCTCAGAGAGAAGCCCAAAGGAGAGCAGCTACTTCTGGATCAAAAGCACCAAGATGGACTTTGGCAGGCTTCGCCCTCAGCTAGCTTGCACGCCAGACCATTCCTGAGCAGGTGTCTGGGCAGTCAGGAGCAGAAAGCATCCTATCCCTGCATTTTGTCTTGCCAGTAGAGTCCTGTGGCTATTTCTGAAGGAAACCTCACAGAGACGCATGACCCCCACCCATGTCAGTCCCCTGCAGTTGAGATTTCCTGACCCACAGCCACCTGGCCAAACCTAGGATTCTTAGCTTAGGGGCTTTTGTGAAAACCCTCACAGCTTCTCAGTATGGGTTCCTGGGTGCCAATGGCCAGCTCCCAAGGGATATAAATGGGTAGGAAGTCTCAGAGGGGTCCTACTAGTGCATCTCTGTGCGTTCACGCCTTCAGACCATCCCCTTTCCCTGGATCTGTGGAGCAAGTTGGTCTGGTATCCAAAAGGGTCCAGGTGTTGCTGTCCCTTTTTGGTGCTCTTGGCTAGAGTTTTGGCCTTGCTCCAACAAGCCTCCTCTGCCCTCTCTCTGCTCCACCTTCTCCACAACCACATAGCATTGAGTGGGACCCCGAGGGGGGCGGTGGCCACTTATCCCCCTCCATAGGGATAGTCAGGACAGGCCATTCCAGCAGAGAAAACAGCACACAGCTGTCTGCCAGGCCCAGGCGGCCTGTCAGGAGAGCGAGAACATCACTCTTCCTGAAGCCATCGGAGTACTAGACACCTATCTGCTTAAGGATGATAATGAAATTAATCCGGCCTGTAGTCACTTCCTGTCCTGATGATTTATTGGCCTCATAGCCCAGTGTTGCTGCCTAGTGGTAATAAATGACAAGACCAGGACACCAGGGCTTAACGGATTCTGCTTATGTTTAAAAAGATAAGCCCCAAGGCAAATAAATGCAGAGAGCTTGAAGGAAACCGGGGAGGTCAGCCGGCCGTGCTCCCTAAGCCTGGACCACTCCAAAAGCCTGGGCTCCTAAGGGCTGGGCTGAAGCACCCAGTCTGCCTCAGCTGCTTCAGTCTGCACTTGATTTTAATAGCATCTCTGCACATCTGAAACCTGGGACAGTTTGAGAGGGTTGGGCTGACGTTTGCTTTTGCCCTTTCGTTAAAGAAAGCATTTTCAAGTACTTGCTTTTCCCTCCAAAGAGACAAGATGCTAATTATCACTCTTATTCATTTACTAAAGCACCCTAGTTTGAGTCACTGTATGTGCTTGAAAGGAAAAAAAAACATATTTCATTTAAAAATAGGGTCTAATTCAGAGTACTAAGTGATTCAGACTTACCTCCCCCCAATTAGTCCAAATTAGTTAGGCTTTAAAGTTAATCATTGGTGACGGCCAGTCCCTCCTCCTGTCTAAGCAGAGTCTCTGCTGCTGGAGTATTAGGCCCAGCCTCTTCCGCTTCATCTGTGAGGTGCTGGACATCTGCTCTGAGGGTACTAGAGGGGTCAGAGTGTACAGATGATACTCTGTCAACCTACTGAGTGGTTTCCAATCCTACCCCCAGTGTTGTTGACGATTGCCCTCTATGGTAGCAACAGTGGCAGTCAGCACCCACCCTTGTCCACAGTGCCGGCTCCATTAATGCTCGCCATAGCCTGATGCTTTCAGACCAGAAGGGTTATTTCTCTCAGTTCCCATCAGATGTACAAGAGGACAGCAAATTTCTGCTCCAGTGTCGTTCCATCTTGTGAAGAAAAGGGGTTATATGAGTCGGTGTCTTTATAAACAAGAAACCAGCAGCATCCTTGCCCCTATAATTAAACCCTCACAGATACTCCCTTATCTGGCTGTGGCTCAGGGTGTTTGCCATAAAGGGGATCCTACTGGTAGAATCCAGACAGACTGTGGAGGCTGCTGGTAGTCTAGGCTTCCTTCCTCTCTCCGTACCCACTGCGACCTTTTGCTCGGCCACATTGTCACACCCTGCCATGAGGTAGCAGAGGCTGCAAGACAGGTGTTTTGTGGGGCAGGAAGTTTTCTCTAGAGATCACACATCTTGTTCCAAGCTGTGAATTTTGAGGAGAAAAGATGATAAGCCACTAAGTGGCTGAGGAACATTGTGCACTAGTGTCCAGAAGTGGTCACTGATGACCCCAAATTAGCCATTCAGAGGACATATATAGCTCTCAGATATGTTTCAGACGATGTACTAGGTGAGGTCAGTGGCCCTTCTGGTCACGCTCCATCTCTGCTCTTAAATAAAAAGACTGGACTACCTTCAAAGATGCCTTTAGCCAATAAAGAGGCTGCTTCTGTACCACATACTGTCCCGACCCTGAGGACACTCTATGTGGGTCTGGTGGACACCTAGGAAAAAGATGGGGGGCAGGGGATACAAGGACGGACGCCAAGACAAGAGTCTGATCAAGGAAACAACTTTATTCATCCCAAAGGGATTTATATAGGGGAAGGGAGGAGGGGAAGGAATGGGGGATGTGCTGTAGCTGCAATAAACCTGGTAGAGCGGATGGTCAGTGGGTTGGGTAGGTCATCCTGTGTCCTCTGGTAACCTAACTGCAGACTCTAACTTTATCTTTCACAATCCACCTTCTATTAAGCCCTAGATAAGCCGCAGGTCTGTTTCTGGAATTCGGCAGGTAGCAGGGTGGGTCTTTTCTTATGAGTAGGTGAGGCAGCCGTACCTGGTTGATGGCCGGAGGTCCCTGACAACATACCATCCTACGGGCTTTGCCAATACCAGCTTCTTTGGTCCTCTTTACTACCTACCCTGTGCATGAATATTGTCATCTTCATCCTAGGCTGGGAGAGGGTGAGAAGCCTGGCCATGCTCACTGAGCTTCTCTTGATGCTCCTAGGTCATCAGCTGATAAAAGAGAACCTCCCTTCCAAACTGTGGTCCTGCTAAAGCCAATGGAATACGGTTGTGTCAGAGTGTGGGGATTGTAGCCCATGCTCCTAACCTTCAGGTTTCCTGGTGGGGAACTGGGCCTACTCTGTGACATAGTCTGGTGATTAGCATTCTCTGGTGCCGACGAAAAGGTTAACTTCTCTTGAGACCCTGTGATGGATCTTGTGGTTCATGGGACAAGACTATTTCAGTGAAGAATGACAGACACTAAGGAAGGTTTCCCTGAAGTAATTTGTATTGACCACAGTGCTTTACATAAGGATAAAGGATCAAATTCAGACCATATTCATCATTTCCATAAAACTCATAGGTGTATAATTCCATGAGTTTCAAAACTGAGCCATATTAATTTCCAATAGTTGATCATTTTTACCTATACAAATAATATTTTATTTTATTTTTCAAGACAGGGTTTCTGTGTATAGCCTTGATTGTCCTAAAACTCACTTTACAGCCCAGGCTGGCTTTGAACTCAAGAGATGCCCTGCTTCTGCCTCCTGAGTGCTGGGATTAAAGGCGTGTGCCACCACCACCTGGCCAAAAACCATTTTATAAAGATTTACCTTCACTATTTATGCGTATGTAAGTGCACATATGCAGGTATCTTCAGAGGCCAGAAAGGGGTATCAGATCCCCTGAGCTGGTGTTACAATGGTTATGACCCAACCAGCAGAGGTGTTGGAAACCAAATTTGGGTCCTCTGGAAGAATAAGTTCTCTTAACCACAAAGTCATCCCCACAAGTAACATTTTTATATGTTTAAATATAAAATGTTTTAAACATTTAAATATATTTAAATTTGTCTCTAGAAAATTTATCTTTAGGGGATAATCTAAACCTATGACATAAAGACAGCTTCTTGCCACCAAGATATCTCACATTTATGGGCAGATTTATTTTAGGAGTTTTTAATTAGTGTTTGTTTTATTTGAGACAAAGTCTCATATAGCCCAAGCTGGCTTCCAACTCCGTATGTGTGAGTTGAACTCTTGATCCTCCTGCTTCTCCTTACTGAATCCTGGTTCAAACTTGGGACTGCATGCATGCTAGGCAAGTATTCTAACAGCTGGGCTATGTCCCAGGCATGTCTCCCCCTCCCCTACACACACACACACACACACAGGGTTTCTCTGTGGCTTTGGAGGCTTTCCTGGAACTTGCTCTTGTAGACCAGGCTGGTCTCGAACTCACAGAGATCTGCCTGCCTCTGCCTCCTGAGTGCTGGGATTAAAGGTGTGAACCACCACTGGCTTTTAAATGTTGATATTTATCCATGTCACCCATGTGGCCACAACTTCTAATGTTGATGGCAAGCCTCTCCTGCCACATTCTAGCTCAGGCTAGCATCACTGGGGAAGAGATGGTCTTGTCACACAGGGCATTGTGGAACACTGTGAGGCTGGAGAGGGCTTTATTTGAAATTGTCACGTGTACCTATCTGCTCTGGGCTGGAGACATGTTCTTACTGCGGATCTATCTAGTGACATTAATCTTCCCTTGATTTAATTTAGGTTTCATCCCTAAAGTTAGGCCCAGACAGGAGGACAAGAGAATGGATGTGGTACTCTGTGGGAAGTAGTTGAGTTTCTAGGACAGAACAAACAGCCGGTGTGTTTTTAACCCTTCGGATTCCATGGCACTTTTCAAAAAGGCGTTTCTTGCCTTGCCTTGGCAGCAGTTGACTTGAGAATTGAAAGTGGAAACCTGCTTCCCCCAAACATCTGCAAATGATTTTTCTGTCCTTATAATCATGTTAAGGCATCACATGGGGCCAAAATGTTCCAGCCCCAGAGCAGCTGTGAAAGTTAGAAATATGCTCACACACATCCAACTCATCCACTAATAAAATGCTTTTACACCAGCTCTTGGAAGATAATTTCAGAGTAAAATCTTCTTAGTACGAGCTGCATCTACACTCTCTTAATGCCTGAGCACAGTGCCAGCAGCCAAACATTGCCAGCTCTCAAAAAGACATTTGAACTTTTGGCAGTGTTCCTTATCAGAAGGCCCATCCATGGTGTTTGTGATTATAGAGGGAGGGTTCTTGCTTTTGGCAAAACAAAGCGTCTGACAGTAGCAGAGTATTGGCTCAACACTCAACAGGATCCATTTGGGATTCATTCTTTGACAATTACCCAGAATGAATCACCAGCTTCCTTTTATAAAAGGGTATTTATTGGCTTAAAATCAGTACATCCAGCTCGTGGGGGCGGGGGAGTTTTGTAACTATGTTCACACATTCTTACAAGCGTGGTGTCTGAGTATTGCTATGGGGATGCCTGCACAGGGCATTTATTTTAATTGCATCAAATATGGAGGAGAATTGAAAAATCAGTCAGAAAACAATGAATGGCTCGAGGGAAAGGAGATGCTTAGAGATAAGAGCATTCCGAGAGCTCAGTAAGAGTTAACACTGGGAGTTGCCTTGAGACCTGAAGGTCTAGCTAGCTCTGCCCAGATTCCCCCTCTTCCCACAAGATGTCCTCAACACTAACAGTGGGAGGCATCTAGCCTAAACTTAGCAGCTGGCTGGACACAGCTGGCTGGACAGCTGTGTCTAGGGCCTATGGAGCTGGCTCTTCCTCTGTGGGTGTCACCTGAAGGAGGTTGTTTATCCTGTGGTGTTTAGCAGGGAGGCCTGTCCATTTTGATAACCAATGTGCAGCAAGCCAGAGAGCAATTCTTAGATTCTCCTTTCTTCCAAGCCAGGGAAGGCTGGGTCCAAATATGTATTAGAGCTTTACAGTGGAGAGGAAAGTCACTTAGCTGATAGCATTCAAAGTGACAGTTGCTCTTCAGGCCACAGCTGGAGGGAGGCGTGGTTTGCCCGACATGCTTCCTCTCTACCATCTTTTGTTTTATGTTGTGGACATCAGCCCCTCCTTCAGAACCATTTCTTCTTAAGAACCCCTGCTTGCCTCTGTGTTTTCTTCTGTCTGGAGGTAATTTCTGTACTGGCCTTTTCCAAGGAGCTACCTGGTTATGAGAAAAAGACCCTCAAGGGCCATTTGGCCCAGAGGCCTTTGGTTCCAAAAGGCTTCAAAGTGAGAGTCATGGACTTCATCTCTAGGAGGCTACACATAGACATGGCATTAGTATGATAAAACATTTACCTACTGACCTATACGTTTAAAAACTGAAGTGTTTTTGTTTTTTTTTGACAGAACTATTCTCATTTATAGTTTATGTTCCTCATAGTTCATGTTTAGAGTAAGGAATGTAGCTTGGTGATGCCTGACAAGAAACAAAGCTCTGGGTTCAGTAACCAATACAGGGGGGTAGGGGGCAGGCAACAAAACTCACCCGTTTAGAATGTGGGACTCACTTGTATTAGTTGTATACCATCAAAATTCAACTTTAGACTATTTTATTACCTTTAAGAGATTCTCATCACTATTCAGTCTTCTCTATAATTCCCATTTAAAGACCACTAGCTTTCTATATAAATTTGCCTGTGCTGGGCATTTTATATAACGGAGATCATACATGTAATCTTGTAACTGGTTTGTTTCAGTTGGCGGATTCGTAAAGTTAATCTGCACTGTTGCAATACTAACACTTCCCTTACCATACGGCAGTTTTTGTAGTACATCCATATAATGGGCTACTACACAGTTATGAAAAGGGATGTTCTACTGACAGGCACAGAGTATACTAAATTAACATCACAGACCTTAGACCGTCCCTAAACGGCATACATTAAAAAATAACAAACATATCAGTATGTATGGTATGAATCCAGTTGTCTGGATCTCAAGAATAGGTGGTCAGTGGAAGGCGGCAGGGGGTGGACTGCCTCTGTGAGGACAGGAGACTGCCTGGGAGTGGCCAGGGACAGTTCTGGGAACCTTGAAATGTTTCATACTACAATGCAGGTGGAGTCACAGTCCATTTACCCAAAGCCCTATTTACAGGAATGACCACAGCTGTTATACGTGTAGTAGTAGTTGTGCTGGCTAGTTTTATGTCAGCTTGACACTAGCTGGAGTCATTTGGGAAGAGTGAACCTCAACTGAGAAAATATTCCTCACCAGAAAGGTCTGTAGGCAAGTCTGTAGTGTTTTTTTTTTTTTTTCCTTTCTCTCCCCCTCTCCTTTTCTGGAGACAGGGTCTCACTATAAGCTCTGGCTGCATTAGAACTGACTATGTAGAACCTCAGAGACCTGACCCCCTCTGCCTCCAGAGCGCTGGGCATGTGCCATCATGGCTGGCTTGTAGGGCATTTTCTTGATTGATGATTTATGTGGAAGGGCCCACTCGTGGTGCCATCGTGGGCTGCTGGCGCGACAGGGAAGCAGTCTGAGCAAGCCATGGGGCATAAGTCAGAAAGCAGCAACCTCCATCACCTCTTCTTCAGTTCTTGCCTCAGGTTCCCTGGGTGACAAACTGATTTGGAGGGAGCAACAGAACCCCTAACTAAGACAGCAGCGTATGCTGAGCACTCACCAGTGTGGTATACTTACATCCATATGCATGCTCCAAGAGGGTCACGGGGTGAGCACACCCTCTATCTGGCTCAGATCAAGGCACAGAAGCCCCTCTGGGCCCTGCTAATCACTGGCCCCTTTCCTCTCTGACACCACCATTGACTGAGAACAGTCGAATACAGTATGGTTTCTTTCGTGTTGGACTCCTTTGCCCAACAAACTGTGAGATCCACAGCATGCAGCAATAGTATATTTTCAATGTTTTCGTAACTTATTGTGAACCATGAGGATTTGTGTTGTTGGGTACAGACCTAGACACACAACTGTTTTGTCATTGGGTACAGCTACAGATACCAGTTTGAGGAAACCTGCCTCAACTTTTCTTTATTGTCTTAGCCAATTCAGATGCTGTGACAGAATGCATTACTTGGCGGCTCAAGCAACACTTATTCCTCACAGTTCTGGTGCAGAGAAGTCAAGGGCATGCACCACTAGACACAAAGCCAGTAGTCAACGCTTCTTCCTGATTCAGAAGGCTGTCATTTCACTGTGTCCTTATATGCTGGTGGGGGAGTTGGGAGGAGGCACGCTCTGTCTTCCCAGAAGGGCACTAATCCCATTTCTGAGGACTTCTGTGATATAATTACTTCCCAAGGGCCCCACCTCCTCATACCACCATATTAAGATCATTTGGCATACATATTTGGAGGTTATACAAACATCTAATCAATAACAAGCAGAAACGGGGGGGGGGGGGGGGGGGGAGAGCACCCAGGCCTCTTCTGACCTGTTAGGCAGGGGGGCTGGCTGAAGATAGCTTACTCTTCCCCTCTCCCAGAAGCAGATCCCATTGAGGTCACAGGCGCTGCCTGTGTGCTTCCCTCACAGGACAATGAGCCCCTTGAGGACAGTGTTCTGCTGGTCACCTGGCTAACCTTAGCCTGCACACAGTGCCCAGAATTTAGTGGTCCCTGATAAATATTTAATAAGTGAGAGAACATAAGATCCATCTAATTCCTGAGTTGAAGCTGAGAAAGACATTACATTTGAAAACTCGTATTTTTTATCTCTGCTTTCAGATATCAAATGGATCCACTATAAAAGTCTTTAAGAAGATAGCAAATTTTACTTCAGGTAACCAATACAATATTGTTAACCTTTTGTTCTCACCGAGCTTTATGAAATATTGGTTTGCTTCTCTGGGACATACTGTCACAGAGGTATGATTGAGATGTTGCTATGATATTCTCTGGAAGCTGAGAAAAGCCATTTCAGTTTGGTTCAAGTCCTAAGAGCATGGGTTCTGCGTGAAGGGAAGGAAACTGTAGCCATGTTGGTACAGACGGCCCAGCACAAAGGAAGCTGCTGTCTCTTAGCAGCTCTGAACACAGGACAGTTAGTCTCAGCCCTTGTAGCTTTTCCAAGTCCTCAGTAGGATGGGCACCAACAAAAGAGGCTGCCCTGCAACTGGGCAGGAAGTTTGCACACTGCCCTGGACAGACTGAGCAAGACAATCTATGAAGAATTTCCAAGATACCAGTGTGTTAGCATTGCTGACTTCCAGACAGTGGAGACAGGAAAAAAGTCAGCAGGCTAGTCTTCTGTCTTCTTGGCAGCTACTGGACAGGAAAACACTGATAATGCCTTGAGAAAATCCACTCGTCCTGTACTGGGTTTGTCCTCAGCCCCACACCACAGATTTCTCTTACTAGCTAGCCTATGGTTGACTGTTAGCAGACTATTTCCCCTTCCCCTTAATTGCCCTAATTTTAGTAGCATCTCTAGATGGTCTAGTCCTCTTCATCTTCAGGTCTTCATCTGGTTTTCCCTCTATTTTCTTTTTAGTGACACTGTGGGTTTTACTTGACTTCTGAGTTGGACACATTGTCTCATCGTAGAGGAGCCCACATTCCTTCCCACCCTGCCTTTACCTGGCTAGTCATTTATTTAGGTTTATCTCTAATAGTCCTCCTTCAAAGGAAGCTCCTAGACTTGGCTCCTTTTCACATAGCTCTCCTTTGTTGAAATTAAGTAATTGGGCAATTAGAAGCACAACAAGGCAGTCTTAATCCTGGCTGCAGGCTTGGCACACAGGGGTGCTCCAGTTTGAGTGACAGGCTAGAAAAGGCATCCCTGTCCCCAGGAAGTGTCTACTCACTCTCAGGGATAGGGAACCTGCTTCTACTCCAGTCCCTAGCCCCTTTTCACACTGTCCAGCTACAGTAGCAGCCAAGAGCCCAGTATAACAGAAGAGCTGTTGGCTTTGGAGCACAAACGGGGCTTATGTTGAGGCTAATTCGTCCGTGGTTGTTTTTTCAATGGACTCTTTTTTCTCCTTTCTCTGGCGTTCAGATGTGGAATACTCAGATGACCACTGCCATTTGGTGAGTTCAGACTGTCTTATGTTGTCCACCAAACTGCATGCCTTCTGCAGCATACTGTTTCTTCAGGTAACACTTGTACGGTCTTTTTAGATTTTGCCAGATTCAGAAGCATTCCAGGTCGTGCAAGGAAAGAGACATCGAGGGAAACACAAGTTCAAAGTAAAAGAAATGTATCTGACAAAGCTACTGTCGACCAAGGTATACTTACTGTTCTAGGAATGCCTTCATGGCTACCTTGGGGGTATATGATGTGTTCAACTTAATTTCCGCTCAAGTGTGAAAATGTTACAAATCCCTTGTGCCTTCTAGCAAAGAAAAAGGAAAGTTTAAATTGTAGACACATCCTATACCCTCCCTTCCATTATTTTTTGTAAACTGGAAAGAGAAGAGCATTTTTACAGATTTCAACGGCAGCATCTTCAATCAGGGCGTTCACTATGTTTCTGCTCCTTACCCACCATTTCACTATTACTTTTTAGGTTGACAACATAATTATTCCTTTTTGTTTTCTTATTATAGATAAGCAATAAAACTCCTTTGACTTGAAAATAAAATGAGGGGGGATCTCTGATGATTAACCTAGTAAATCCTACTGTTTTTTTTTTCCTTTTGAAATTCAAGAATTCCGTTCACTTATGAAAGTGTCAGATGGGAAAGCCAGTGGAATACCAAATCAGGAGCAAATCTTACTGCATCTAGCGGAGTTTTGTTTGTTTGGTTGTTAGCAGGTTAACACAAGTCTCTGGGTTTTTGCTCCACTATTGTAACTGTCTCCTTAGCCTTTACTACCTTGCTGGGCAAGCTTCTTCAGCAAATCTGCTTAGACCTGAGTGGATCTGTGTGGCAGGCAGAGGAGTGCCTGTACATTTTGATTTTTATCTTTCCCAGAGAGCTCTGCCTTCATTTTATTTTTGATAAAATACTCGGCTGCTTTGGGAATTCAACATTTAAGCCCTGAGATGGAAATGCATGCAAAAGGAAGAAAATCTAGCAGCGAAGCATTATCCCTGAGTTTCTCCAGGCTGTACATAGCAAAGGCAGAACATCCGTGGCTTGTCTATATACACAGCCTACACTGGCACTGCATCCCCCTGCTGGTTAAACAGTATTGCTATCAATAAGTTTATGCACCAAGTCTAAACACAGACACAGACTTTCCAGACCCTTGTCCCAGCCCACATTGGCCTCATCTGACAATTTCCTGTTTTTTTTTTTTTTTCCTCTCTCAGCTTATTTTTCCCTGGTTGGCACATCCCTTTCTCTGAACTTAGAGCTGGCTTTTCCATTAGGTTTTCGCCCAGCACCATGAGTCTCAGTCTCTGCTTCTGTTTTCCAGGTGGCAATCCACTCTGTGCTGGAGAAGCTCTTCAGAAGCATTTGGAGTCTGCCCAATAGTAGGGCCCCATTTGCTATAAAATACTTCTTTGACTTTTTGGATGCCCAAGCTGAAAACAAGAAAATCACAGATCCTGATGTTGTACATATTTGGAAAACAAACAGGTAGGAATGTAGAGGATTACTGACTGTTTTCCAGAACCTAGGGCAGAATGTTCAATCCATAGTTACTGTATCAGAATCTCAAGGTTTGAATTCTATTCTAAAAGACAAAAATAACAAAATTCTGTTATCTTTTATGCATGAAAAATACTTATCGAGAATGTTAGACTAGCAAAGAATGAGAAATTAGTATTTTATGGTTTATTCTGTTATTTTTACTAGAGAACTGTTATTGTGCCTACAGTGACTGCTTTGCAATTTTCAAGCTATGTGTCTATAAGTTCATGCTTTTGTTATTTGTAGCAGTAGATTTCATGAGAATTATCCAAGGGTTTTGATGTTACTTATTTTAGCATTTTACCTTAAGGAGCAGGATAGCCACATTTATGCTAATACCACCTCAGAAGAGGAATATAGCTTATCGTGTTTATCTGAAATGCTTTCACTTCAGCTGAAGAAGACCCACCCCGTCATGGTTCAATAGAAGGTCTCATGTGAGCTCAAACCCCTCCACATGCTAGCAACTGGCAAAGAGAAGCTCCAGAGCTCTTGGTCAGTTCTTTCCCTTTGGTCTGGGTTTACATTCTCTGCTCTGGCTCACTCCTGTCCTCAGTTCCAGCCTCATGTCCCCAGGCCCTGTTACTCCCACCCCAGCATGGGTGCTACCACCAGTCACAAGAGATGGAGCCACTGAGATCCCAGCAGCCCTGTGGTGGAGGTAGCAAGCTAGGCCAAAGTTCACATTCTAGTATTTATCTATCTTCCTACACCATGTGTACTGTTGGGCACTGTGGTAGTACAGTAATGAATGAAACAACACCCATGGCCTCACAAAATGTACTCTATGGATACAGAGGACAAGGAAGAATGCATTCACGGAAGTGCACCAGAGGGCGATGTGTGCAATGGAGAAAAGTAGGAAGAAGGCATGAGTATCAGGACAGGGTGGACAAGGGCTTCAGAAGAGTTTGTATCTCTAGGATGAGGAAATGATATAACAATGAGACTATGTGTGAGAGGAGAGCATTGAGAAGACAGACCTCACAGCAAAATCCTGTTTGGTATGAGTAAAGATACTTAAAGGGCTCAGGGGAGATAAGAGAGGAGTGACAAGATCTGATTCTAAAAGGATCAGGGCTGGAAGAGGTCAGGCACAACAGATTTGAGTGAAAAGTTCTCATTGGTGACATCAGCTCATATAACCCAGACTTGGAGGGACTTCTTGTCCAGGGCCATTTTCTGGCTTCTCCAGCCTGCCCTTCACTCACTGTTGGGTTCCTGGTTCTAGTGATGTTGCCACCTGCTGCTTGTTAGTTTGGCTAAGCAGGTTTACGCACTTCAATAACAAGGTCATACACACTTACAAACTGGTGAGCGGACCACTGGCTATGTTAACAGTCCTGCCTGAGAAGAGATTGTTTTCCCTTCAAACAGCCTTCCTCTTCGCTTCTGGGTAAACATCCTGAAGAACCCTCAGTTTGTCTTTGACATTAAGAAGACTCCACACATAGACAGCTGTTTGTCAGTGATTGCCCAGGCTTTCATGGATGCCTTTTCTCTCACAGAACAGCAACTGGGGAAGGTAAGGCCCAGCTTTGCTTTCTGATACATACCTCTGAAAATCACTTCTGGTGACTGATGTCTCATAGGAACCTCAGATGTCCCAACCCCCTCTTCCTACAAAAACCCACCTTTGCTACTTTCTCTAAAACCTTCTTTTCCCTTCTTATTCAGCCCCTGCTCCCTACTGGACAGCAATAGCCCCCTAACCCATACCCTGCTGCCCACCCACCCCGACCTCTTCCTTTCCACTGTCTTCGTGCATTTCTTCCTGCAGCTGGCATCTTCACTATGCTACAGGGCCTTCCTGACTTGTCTCAGTAAAATCCCACTCATTCATCTGCCAGTGTTTCATTCCACAGTTTCTTGATGTGCATGAAGAACACTGATCTGTCTGACTGTGCCTATGAACACGGTATCTCCCACTTAAAAATGTGTGTGCCCAGAGTAAAAGTAGCCGTTAAATGCATCACTTACTTGCTTCTTCATGTAGTTCAGTCGGTCCTTCGGGCACTATGATTCCCATTTTATACATGAGGAATCTGAGGTACAGAGAGGTCACAGGTCTTGTTATCGCAAAGTAACACAATTGTGAGCTCTCACCTGTCCAAATTCTGTCCCCGCTGTTGTTGTCTGTGGATCCTCACATTACATTCAGGCTGTGAATTCTCTGCCCAACAGGACTGTAAGCTTCTCAAAGGCAGTCACCTTCATCTTTGTACATTTGATACGTGGATAAATGGATGGCCATACAACTTGCAGGGTTCACTTAAAACCCGACAAGCACTTCTGAGGAATATTTCTGTGTAGGCAGCTTTCAGAATAATTCACCAAGCCACTGATTCAGCCACTAGACTCTTGAAACACATACTGGGACATTAGTCTAATCATTAATTTGCCTATCTTCACTGCGATTTTTAAAAATTTTGTGAATAATGATTTTGTCATCACTACTATACTTCCATAGCACCAAATTACTAAGGAATCTTTGCAAAGCAAAATCAGACATCAGACTCACCAGTACCGGTGACATGTACTTCCTTGAGAAACTGGACGATCTTTATAATCTAATGAAGTAGGGGACAAGCTAGAAAGTCTGCCACTGCCAATTTCTTACCAGTTTTACAGTTATATAAAGGGTTCAATCAGATCTACAATCAAGTCTTTTATACATGCCAAAATTCACTGGTGGGTGAGGATGAGAGCAGTGTCTTAATTCAGGCTTTCTAACGACCATTAGTAATGAACTATGACTGAAATAAGTTCCATTGTTACCGTAACTCAAAATCATGCAAAAATAATAATTTTAGTTCTTTTATAAGAGAAAGGCTGAATATATTAGCATTTAATCTTCCTGAAAATAACAGTGACTCACCAGAGCTATCTAGATGGCAGTCAGTCAGTCAGTCAACATTTACCGAGGTCTGCTGCCTGAAGCCTTGTTAGCAGGGGTAATGCTGGTGTACTTCAGTAACATTGCACCATTATAACCCCCACCCCCCATGTCTTTTTATGCTTCTTGTGGCTGTTGCTGTTTTTCAGGAAGCACCAACTAATAAACTCCTCTATGCCAAGGATATACCAACCTACAAAGAGGAAGTAAAATCTTATTACAAAGCAATCAGGGATTTGCCTCCATTGTCATCTTTAGAAATGGAAGAATTCTTAACTCAGGAATCTAAGGTATTACTTTTAAAAAGCAGAAATAAGCTTATAATTTGGTTACTTAAAAACAGACATATTTCAGAGCCTCTCAACAAACCTTTCTTTTAGAAACATGAAAATGAATTTAATGAAGAAGTGGCCTTGACAGAAATCTACAAATACATCGTAAAGTATTTTGATGAGGTAAGATTTTATTTCCCTACAAGCCCCCATCACAAGGACTTGGGCATAGTCCTCCATCCCAAAAAGGCAGGAAAAGGAAGCCCCAAGCCAGATCCTGCACAGGCTGCCTCTCCTGTGGTCTGTCATGCTGCCCACCTTTAGACCAGCCTGGATTTGAGTTCATGGGTCCTAATGCCACAACAATGCAAGTAAACTTTGATTGGTAAATACGGCCCTGTTAAATGGGGCCAGTTTATGTTTGATTGTGGTCTGCTAAAAATGAAAGCTAAGTCTGTTAACTCACCTTGCTTCTGTTTTCCATGGTTATATGAAATCATGATATACTTCTAACTTAAGCTTTAACTCTCAATAAACAGTGTCCTCATTCAGGCTTTTTACGACCATTAGTAGGAACTACATTTTCCTTTATGACTAATTCTCCTTAATCTAGATTCCTTGTTTCCAAATATATGTTAATTCCCCCTTCCCTGATTCCCCCCCACTCAGTCATGCTGGGACAGGCTATCCATGTCAATGGTGAGAATAGCTCACCAATTCCATTTGCTACTTGAAGATCAAGTGAAGAGCTAAGGTAGGGTAGAGGCAATGAGCTCCTTAAACATGATAAGCATCCCTCGCCAGGGGTGAGAAGGGAAGCACTGGGAAGGGGAGGGGAATCAGGATGCCCTTGCCTGCTGCACTTGAGGAATACTTGCCTGCATGCTGGCTGCCCAGGGATGCTTGCTGTGCTTGGAATGGCTGTGACGTAATGCATAAAGCAGGGCCTTGGAAGTCTGGCCCTATATTTGTAAGCAGATAGTTGGTATTTCTTGCGGGCTTCTATTTCAAGCCCAAGTGTTGTTGATCCTGTGATAATGACTTAGCAAAACTTACAATGTGAGTATGGAAATGATGGAAGAAAAAATGCTGGCATCTGTTTCATACAGATTTTTACCACTCGCAGCATCAGGAAAGAAACACACACACCAAAAACAATGAGGAAAAAGAGCAAGTCCACCAGAATTGTGAATTGTGATGCTAAAACTAACATGTAAAATAACTCTTCTAATTGTCAACAGATTCTAAATAAACTAGAAAGAGAACGAGGGCTGGAAGAAGCTCAGAAACAACTCTTGCATGTAAAAGTCTTATTTGATGAAAAGAAGAAATGCAAGTGGATGTAAGCACCCTGGGGCCTGGCTTTATTTGACAAAGTTCTTCAGACAGCTCGGGAGCAAAATGGCTGCTTGAGCTACTCTTTGTCGTTAATTTCTTAAGTTTGCACATGGGTTCCATTTTGAGCACTGTCTTTTAAGAGACCAAGGCACATGCACAGCTTTTAGAAAGCATATCAACCACTGTGCCTGTGGGTAACCGTGGGAACCTTTCTGTAAATAGAGCTGAAGTGGTTGTTGCAAACAGCCTCCTTGTTTACAGAGAATACAGGGCCAGTAAGCAAGTGTCAGTATTGTAACTACAGTCTCCACTTAAGCACAATGATATCTACTGGTTTTGTTGGGATACTACAGCTATGTAGCACTACACTGTACTTCTGCAGAAGAAAGGGGATGCTAACAACGCTCAAAATGTGAAGTGAGTCATATGGAAACAAGGCGGGGGTGTTAGGGCAACCCTGAGGATCTGCAGCGTTCACTTTCCCCAGTAGTTCTTGGAAAAGCTGAAGGCCGCCTTTGGTAGTGTGTACACTTAGCGTTCGTGAGTGTGTGTGTTTAAACCAAAAACTAACAGTGTTGCAACATTGTTGAAAGGGCTCGTGTTTTTCAGTGGTTGCCAGCTGCACTCATCACCTCCATCTCATCAGAGGGGCTCTAAAGCAAGGAGAGTGAGTGGGTTTCACTGAAATGCAACAGCGTTTTTCCAGACTCGTCCTAATGTGTGTTTCCTTTCTATCTTCTCATGTATCTGGTAGTGGATATGTTGGGTATTGTAAGCAAAGAGTTCATGACTTACTTCTGTTTGATCAGAACTGTCTGTGGATGTGTAAGTCACTCCTGTAATCTTACATTTCTATACTAGTGTCTCCTTGCTTTAGATTTCTGGTGAACCCTGTGGTTATAAATACTTGTGTGTGATTAAAATAAAAGATACATTTTACATTTCATCAAATTGTTGTTCACATTGGAGTATTATATATAAATATATATTTGAGGCCCAAGGCCTGGAAAATATTAGTACAACTTGGTATCTTAGTCTTACTATGTACTTTTTGAAAGTATTCCTTACAGGAGAAAGATTATTCGTGCCTCTTTTTTTCTTTTTCAAAGAATTTCCTATCCAGTTATAATGTAGTCTTTTTTATTGCTGATTTTTTTATTCCCAGATTTTTGCTGCTCATGACCAATTTTAATACCACTGTGTTTTCCTTCTATTAAACAGAAGTAAAAAGTATAATCTGAGAACTCTCACTTTCCTTGTGGCAGGCACCTTTTACCCTTGGTGTTCCAAACCCCCACTGTAGGAAGGAATTTTCTTCAAATAACACATTGAGCACACATTCCTTACAACTATTTACCAGCACTGTATGGACCATCTAGAAGGAAATGTGATTTGTCTTGGTAAATGCAATCCTTTTTGCTCCTTACTACTGATAAAGTATAAGAGAGGTAACATCTCAGCATCAGTTACTGTCCTGATGGGCACCTTCCCAGTCCTGTTTCCTGTGACTACTGTCTGTCCAATGGACACATCTCCAGACTACTACCAAATACTTCATTTCTAAGTAGAAAGGTCAGAGGTCTGGTCCCCATTTAAAGCTGCTACAGTCTTCAAAGAGGTGAAGGCTTTCATAAGAGAAAAGCTGGAGGAGAGTTGAGAGCCAAGGGTAGGAGAATTGCCCAACAGACTTTCCCTTCTCTGGGGAACAGAAAACGCAAAGGTTCAGCCACAGCTTTAGCTAAGTATTACTAAATGCTACACGAGGGTGTCCCTGTCCAGCTCTATGACACGAATCCTGTGTGGAGTTAGGAACTTTGGGCAAATCACTTACCTCTTTGTGCCTCTGTCATTTCTGTATAATATCTCTAACCTACCTCACTGAGGTGGTATGAAGATTCACTCATGTGTGTAGTGTGTTTGTCAATCCTCCAGTGAAAAGCACTATCTAGATCACATTTTGGATCACATTAGCCAAATGCAGAGCATGTCCAAATTAGATGTGTGCTGAAGACAATCACTCACTGGGCCTACATTAAACAGCAACTAAAGAAACAGATGACAAACAGTATCTATTTTCAAGTTTCTTTGCATATTTTTGGTGCAAAACAATTAATTTATAAACTTTTTTTCTAACACTAGTGTCTAAAGCAGCATTTAAAAATGACTTCTGTTACTTTTTCTGTATTAGGATTTAAAGTCTATTTCTTACTGTATACCTGACTGAAGCTGTTCTTGGAGATGAATGTTTTAAATGTCTATATCCAAAAATAAACATTTTGATGTAACAACTGTGGACTCTTTGTCTTTTCTGGTTATAATGGGTTTCTTACTCTAAGTGGCTCCATGGAAATTACTTTTCAGGAACAAGATGTCATTGTACATTCCTCATAAATACACAGCTCCATTAAGCAAACCTGGCTCCTTGCTAAATGATGCCAAGGGCTGCTCCATTACGTTCCTGTCTTCAATGATCAACTTGGAATTTGACTGCAGAAGACTTCTGATTAATGAAAAAGCCACATAAGTTTGGCAGACTTGAGTTGAGCTTTGCTTTGTTGACATGGAATCATTCCAGCAGAATTCCTCTAAAACATGCTACATAAAGAAGCTTCCAACCGGTACACAGTGAAAAATGAAGTAAATAAAGCATAATTATTTGTTTAGGTCCTATGCAGTGAGAAACAAAATTACATACTAGAAACACTCCAAGACCCCACTGCTTCAAGTAGGATCATAAACAGCCCTTTATAGAAACAGCCACGGAGGACTTAATTTACTAAAACTCCTAGCTCACCAGAGCAAAAAGAAGTGAAACCATCAAGTGTTTGGGATATACTATATGATCAGTGAAATTAAACACAAAACAGTACAGATATAAAAATATTTATTAAGTTATTTAATAAATTAAGTGCACAGCTTTTAGAAAAGGTAAAGATTTCTATAATGAACATATTTTTAGAAACTTTTAAGTGTGTTTTTATACTTTTAAAATGGTCATCTTTTCCTATAATTTTTGTTTTATAACTTTTGTTTACAATAAAGGGGATATTTACTGATATTATTACCAAGCAGGCATCTCAAAGATGAGGAAAAAGGAATTCAAAATGTATATATTTTAGGCAAAATGCCAGAAAAATTCAATAAATTAAAAATATGAAAATTTGATTGCTTAATTAGTTCCTTTTATCTTTTGTCAATACAAGCGCTAAGCATCTGAAACTCCGAATACTTTGCTTTGGTTAGCATAATCCTAAAATCCTGGAACCCATGCAGTGCAGCACATAGTACCTGTTCTTGAGGCAGCCCGTGGATTTGGCAAACAGTAATGAAGCATCTCAATGCCACATGTTAACTTCATGCTTTATTGAGTTTCGGCCTTGCCTGGCTTCTAACATCATTCTCCAGGAGATCCGAGCTCCTCTAGCTGTTTCCTCTGTGTAGTTTCTAGTTCTTCCAGTCTTTTGCGAAGCAGAGAGAGTTCTCTTTGATGTTGTTCCTCCTTAAAAACGACACATAACAGAAACCTAGAAAAACTAGGAAAATCCCTGCCATCTGCCTCTCTTATATAGGCTTCCAACAGTGTGGCTGAGAAATGGTGTCCATTTTAGCCATCTAAAAACAGAGCAGCAAGGATAAAACCATTAACTAGTCCCCCTTCTCTTCTACCTCAGGCTCTACCCTTAAACAAAACCCAGTCTGTTCCTCCCTAGGAGTAAAATTTTCTGGAGAGAAAATTAGACAATGCTACCTGCATTACACAGGTGTACATAGATGGCAGTTTTCACACAAGACTGGAAAGTATTAGTAATTTACTAAAAGTAGCACCTGGTCTAAGCCTCAATGCAGTGACACAATCTCTTAGGCCTACACTGTAAAGCACAGTGACTTACACAGCCCATCTTCTGAATACCATATGGTCAAATCTCAGGAGCCTACCTAGGCTCTGGAATCAAACAGGGTTAGGTTAAAAACACTTAACTGTCATTTATTCAGGTAGAACCTTAGGCAAGTTACCACACTGCTCTCAGTTTCTTCACCTCTGCAATGGGAATAAAAATGGTGCCTTCGCAAAGCATTTTTTACTAGTATTAAAATATTATATGGAAATACAGTGTGTTGCATAGTAAGTTCTTGATAGTTGTATATAATTAATCTACAAAATCTAGGCTACTCAAAGAGTCATTAATCATGTAATTTGTCTATAGCCAAATATGAGAATTATGCCCAGAATCATCACTAAAGAATAGAGAAAAATCTATTCAGAAAATTTCCACAGTAAATGAAATCTACCAATGTTTTCAATTGGTAAAACAAAGAAAAAACCTACAGAAGTGTTTGTTCTTTCCTAAATACTCATACCTGCGTATGAGGAGGAAAGGAGAGCTCCATCCCAGGAACTACAGCTGATGACTGAAAGTTAGCAGGATGGAGTGATGCTGTTGGAGGCAGATCAGGAACCAAAATGAGACTTCGAAATTCATTATGTCTTCTCTGTAGGTCCTTTAGTCGTTTTTGAAGCCTTGTATATTCTTCAAATGGAACATTTTGTCTTAAAAAGAGAAAGCATTTGTGTTCCTTAATAGTTATATCCTAATGAAGATCAGAATACAATTTTTGAATGGGAAAAAGACATCCATTTATCTGAAAATCTACTTATCTAGAAAGATAAAACAGAAAAATCACCTTTTTATTGGCCCATTCATCACCACTGTAGCTGGAACTGGTGTGGAACACACTTTGCAGCCCAGGATGGTTTTACACCTCAATTACTGGGAGTACAGTTATTCCAACACACACACACACACACACACTTTGTTTTTAAGACAGAGTCTCACTATGTAGGCCTGAGTGGACTGGAGTTCCCTATGTAGACAAGGCTGGCCTTAGTCTCACAAAGATCTTGTCTCTGCCTCCAGAGTGCTAGAACTAAAAGCATGTGCCACCATGCTCAGTGCTATATATAACAATAGATAATTATTAGCTCTGTAAGCTATTAACTCAGTATCGATTTTTTCAATTAATCAAAGATTAAAAATACATTGGGAATTATTTTGGCACTTTTATTTTCACTTCTACTCTCTTTCCCCTTCTATAAACCCTGAAAATAAAAAGGGGACTCTAAACTACAGAAAAAAAAAACCTTAAGGTTGGATTCGACCTTACGAAACTCATTTTTACATGAAATATAGTAAAATATAAAATAGTAATTCTTTACATTTGAATTCAATCTAATTTTGAATGTAAATGGATACTGATACAATGACAATATGGAATTTAGCCTCTGGTTCCCTGGCACACCACTCCTAAGGCTCCTGGACTCTCAGGAGTGAATAGCAGCTCTTGTATAGTAGCTTCAGGTAGGAGCAGGCCACCAGAAAGAGTAAGATACCATTACAACATTACAACTTTCATTTCCACATACCCCCACACTACCAACTCTGGAAAAGGGAGAGGAACTGAAGACTCAGCTGATCATCAGTGACAATGTGATCAATCAATGGCTACCATAAAACCCAGATGAAGGGCTGGGTAGGAGTGGCTCTGCCAACACCAGAACCTGAGTCAGGATCCACAGTGCTCATGTCAAATAGTCCAACAGAACCAGAATCTGTGAGCTCCGGGTTCAGTGGGAGTCTGTCTCAAAGACTAAGGTGAAGTGTGACCTAGGAGGACATCTTACATGGATACCCCCCCCCCACACACACACACAGAGAGGCAAAAAAAGAGATAGGGTTTAGGGAACTCTACATTTAACAAAATACATGGAAACCTACAAGGTGGTATACAGGGCATGAACATGCCCTCATCCGTACTTTTTCCTTTAAACCTCTTCGAACTGGCTGTTCATCTGTGGCCTTCACAGTATTCTTTAAAATAACTAGCAAGTCTCCAGTATTTTCCTCAGTTTTGTGAGCAACTAGCAAATCAATAGATCTGAAGCAGAGGGTCCTTGGAGCCCCAATTTACAGCTGTCAATCAGAGGAACAGATGATAACCTGGGCTTTCTGACTGCCATCTAAAGTGGAAACAGTTTTGTACAACTGAGATCTCATCCTGTGTCAGTGTCAGAACTGAATTATAGGACACTCAGATCATGTCCATTAGAGAACTTTTGTCCAAGAACACAACAGAAAACACTGCTGCACAATACAGGCAATTTCCAATTCTTCACCAAATATCTAAGACAAACATTAATTAACAGTTCAAAAAGATTTTACTACCTTAAATAAAATGGGCCATACAATGTCATTATCACCAACATGACAGTACAAATCTCCCCAGCTCCAAGAACACTAATGACAATGATTAGTAGCTAACATGTTTCACATAATGTTCAGAGCTCTGCCACTGCCACAACAAGAACTCATGCTCTTCCCAGTAACAATACCAGTTACTGGGCTGAAGCCAGGGAGTGTCCTTTTTCTGTTAATGTCCCCAACACTACAAATACCTTGTATGTGATTGAGACTTTTGACTTGAAGGAACATTAAGTTAGGAAGAAAAGTAAAAGGTAATGCATTTTAGAAATCTTGTCCTTTTTTTTTTTTTTTTTTTTTGGCAATAGGATCTCACTATGCAGCACTAACTGGCCTGTAACTTATATAAACCAGGCCTCCAGAATGCTGGCCATAAATCCACAGTTTAATATAAAACATAAGGTATAGTACACCCAGAAAGAATGTTTTGGGACTGGAGAGGTGACCTAGCAGACAAGAGTACTTGCTGGTCTTCCACAGGACCAGAGTTCAGTTCCCAGTATCCCCTTAGTGGCTCACAACAGCCTGCAACTCCAGTTCCAGGGGACCTCACATACCTTCCTAGCTTCTGCAGGTCTCTGCAAGCATGTGATGCATAGAAACTCATTCAGGCACAGACACATACATACACAATGGATTAAAAAAAAAGTAAAAACAAGGTTCTACACCATTACAGGGGACATATACATACTAACACATTACCTGTTTAACACCTGGTTTTCTGTTTCTAACTCTTCTTTCTTTGCCTCCAAGACTTCCACTTTTTCCTGAAGTCTCTTCAACTTGTTTTCATGAAGAGATTTTCTCTAAAAAAGAAAAAAGATTAGTATGAAACAAGTATGTTGATACATAATTTCCTGTGTGAACAACATGATGGATAGTTAAGACCTTTTTTAAAATTTAGAGATTAATATCTTCGGTGAATATCAAGGACAAAGATTAGTATATGGCTTGTACTGAAACTGAAACTGCAAACGGAAGAACACAAATCTACGTCACACCCTCAATGGAACAAACAGAATCATTACGAATACCTACCAGAAAACAGATCAATAACCAAATCATTGCAAATAAACTCAAGAAAAAGTAGGAGGCAAATTCTTACCGAGTATGCCTACTGAGTATGCATGAGCTCTTCATGGTTTCTGATGATATGCATAAAGAACTCAGAACACAACTTAACTTAAAATTAAAAGCCTATTTGCAATTGATACATTACTACCAAAGCAAAAATTGAAAGGATGAGAATGCTAAGATAAAGCATAAGTACATCTTACTTTAAAAGTATGCATTTCTAAGTATTAAGAGAAAAATGAATTGTATAATATATAGAGTTTCTAAAAGTGAACGCTATGATTTGTTAAATTAATGGAAAAAGTATAATGCAAAAGGACTATAAGAACGAAAGCATTTTAAAGTTTTTATAAACAGGTTTTAAAAATAGAAAGATACCCATCATGTTGGAATAATTTAGCAGCTGCACATCTCTTAAATGTTTACCGAAGCATAACAAGCTTGTTTTAAAAAAAAGCATAGAACGTGAATACAAAGCCCTATGAAAACGCACAGAGCAAATGCTGACACACTCACTTCACAGGTCAAGAGCACTGCCAGGAGTGTTCACACCTCCTCCTCCTCATGACCCCTCGACCACCCGTAAAGGTAACCAACTAATAATCCATTTCCAAAGCTACGGCTCTGCCAACTTTTGAATTTCATGACATTTTCTTTCAATCAATCCACTTGTGAGATTACCATGTTATTTACTCAAGATAAGGTTCATTCATTGCCACATAGTGTTCTCAACTTCTGACCAGTACATTTATCACAGTCACCCTGCCCGACACTAAGGGTCATTTAGGTGACTTCTAGTTGTGACAGAACTGGAGGTCAAGTGTTTCAGAAATGACACTTTTGTGAGCATTCCTTAGTCTTCAATATCCAGCACCACTAAAGGCCTCAAGCTCCTCCTGGCATATGTACCTGGCAGTTACTACTCTTCAACCTTTATGACTGTACTTATCTGTACTTATTTACTTGTGGCCTGGGGAACAGGCCCATTCATCCACCCATCTCAATTGTAGAAAAGAAACTATATAGCATATATCCTTTGCATCCGAGGTTTTCTAAGCATTTTCTCTTTGTAGGAGCAATGTTACTGAATATTACAGTAGTAATTTCCCATCACTACACTGTTGTCTGGTGTACAAATGTAGTACATTTCAACCATTTTCCCACTGATGAAAATTTCAATTGTTTCCAGTTTGGAAATATTAGCAAACTTTCTCTAGGTCATGGAATATAGCCTGCCACTTTTCTAAAATGATTCTACCAATTACACACCCACCACCAGCTTGACACAAGAGCTTTGGCAATTCACAACCTTGTCAGAATTTGTTAGACCCAGTAACATTTTAGTCATTCTGGTGTAGTATGTTAGAAGGTTACTGCAAATGTTTGTAACATTTCTGATAGTTATCTAAAGATGTTAAATCTCTTTTCCTATCCTACCCATCTGTATTTTTTTTATAAGTTCTGTGTAAACACACATTTGTGCTTGGTCTAGTTTTTGCTCAAAAAAGTTTTTTTAAGTCATCTCATTCTTTTTTTTTCCATAATTAAAACTTTATTGAAAAACTGACACCAAAATAGGAGATCGTTGCATACTTTATAAAATCAAACATAGTTACATTGTCTTGGTAGAGTCACTGAACTTGATAAGGCTTTCTGTGAAAAACACAAAACTCAGGAACATGTATAGATGATTAGTGTTGCTTTCTTCTAAATGAACAGCCTTCTGTGAGCCTGGCTTTTCCTCCTGTGGGCTGGCACAGCACTGTTGAATAACCTACACAAAGAACCACTGTCTGAGCATGACTGAAAACTGTAGTAATCTTGTAGCAACCTGGACATTTCACATCCATGAAGTAAGAATTTGGGCTCTGAACCAGCCGTTTCTTCTTATGTTTTTTCTTTTCCTCTTCCAAGGAAGGGCTTATCAGATCTCTAGCCAAAGGCATGGTGACGGTTCCACCAACACGGGTGACCCAGATCTCTGAGGTGAGGCGTCCGTGGGCGAGTGCTTGGCTACTCATCTCATTCTGATTATGTATTTGAAGTTCTTTAAATATTCAGGTTATGAACCCTTTTGTACAGGAACTCGCTGCAGATTCATGTCTCAACCTAATGTGAGAGTTCCTTTTGTGTTTTAAATTTTTTACTTATTCTATGTGTATTGAGTGATTTGTCAGCATGTACACTGTACCATGTGCATGACTGATGCTGACATAAAAGGGTGCTGGATTCTCTAGGACTGGGGATACAGACAGTCGTGAACTGCCATATGGGTGCTAGGAATGCAAGCCAGGTACTCCTAACCACTGAGTCATCTCTCCAGCCCCTATCATGGAATTTTCTTTCTCTTAAAAACACAACCAAAAAAGAAAACCATCTTAAGTTCTAGTTTGCACATTCATTTACATGCCTTTTCAGTAGCAAGCTTTATATCATCAGATTTCTCAGAGTTGGAAGATATCTCAAAGTGTGTAGCTCAAAAGAACTTGTGTGTGTGTGTGTGCGCACGCGCGCACACGTGTGTGTAAAAAATTGCGATCTTAATTCTTAGAAAGATTAGAAAGTTTTGTGGTTGTGAAACTGAAATACCGGCAAAAAACTGTTATCAAATTCAAGCTTCTACAAGAGTCAAAAGTCTAAACTGATTTGGGGGGAGATAATAAATGGCATTACTATAGTGTGAATTCTTAAAAACAGAAAAATTGACCGAACAACATATCTAAACTTTATAAAATTTTTGATGGTTTCTTTTTATAGAAAATGTGAAAATATAGATATTTGGCATTAAAAACATAGAACAGAATTTTCCAAAACATTAACGGTAAAAAAAAATTTTAGGGGCTGGAGAGACACTCAGAGGTTAAGAGCACTGGCTGCTCTTCCAGAGGTCCTGAGTTCAATTCCCAGCAACCAAATGGTGGTTCACAACCATCTGTAATGAGATCTAGTGCCCTCTTCTGACCTGTAGCCATACAGAACACTGTATACATAATAAACAAACCATTAAAAAAATTCTTTACAAAAAAGAAAAAAAAACCTTATTTTTTAGAAAAGGTACCATTCAAGAAATCTTTTATTTTGGAAAATTTACTGTTAATTTCAAATTGTCAAGCATATCTTTTATAGTTAGTACTTTCTGTGCCCTATTTAAGAAATGTTTATTTATTCCAACATCCTATGGCTTTCTTCTCAAGTTATTTTATACTGGCTATATTTACTTTCACCTTTCACTTCTGGGTACTCGGACTCTTTTTAACCATATTACATGGAGGGAAGGACAATCAAGTGATACAGTGCCCTCAGAAGACTCTTCTCTAGTGAAATTACTGGTGGGTACCTTTGTAGCAAGCTCTTGCCTGCCTCATTTTTCTTCACAATTGACTTAGCTATTCTACTCCTTCCAATACTCTATAAGGTTTACAGTTAAATTTTTTTTTACAAAGAAATATCCAATGATTTTGATTAGATCTAATTTGTAGATCTACTTGGGAATAACTGGTTTAATAATGAATTTTCCAAAGCATGAACATGATATAGTTTTCTTCTTTAATCATTCTTTAAAATTTTGAGTAGTTCATAGTTTTAAATATAGATGTCTTATATACCTAACATTTAAAATGTTTCTACTATAAATGACATTTACATATTTCATTTTTTCCAATTGTACATAAAGATAACTGGTTTGTTGCCTGACTTTTAACCATCAACAGGGCAGTAGTAGAACATGTCTTTCATCCCAGCACTTGGGAGACAGAGGCAGGCAGATCTCCATGAGTTCAAGGCCAGTCTTGTCTACAGAGTGAGTTCCAGGAAAGCCAGGGTTATACAGAGAAACCCTGTCTCAAAAAACAAACGAAAAAATTTACATCTCTTAGGTTAGGTGTGGTGGCCAGTTCTTAATCCTAGCATTCAGAATGCAGAAGAAAGAGGATCTCTAGGAGTTCAAGGGCAGCCCTGGATATATAATATAGCAAGACTGTCTCATAAACAAACAAACAAACAAACAAATAAATGGAAGAATGCCCCAAACCTATTTTAATACTTACTTCTAGATTTGCTTGTTTCATGTATAATCATTTAATTTATAAATAACAATCTTACTTCTTTCTCTCCAATCATTATGTCCATTTCTTTTTCTTACTTCATTAAATTAGCTAGAACCTCCAATAAAATAATGAACAAACTGTTGATAGTGGCTTGTTCCTGGACTTGGCTGTAATCAGTAAGTGTGTTAGAGGATTTTGTAAGTACCAATGATCACACTGAAAATCCAATCTACTACTAATTTGGTAACAGCTTGTAATGAAAGATCCTGGTTTTCTTCAGCAGGTCTCTGTCCAGTAAGACAGTGACAGTAATTGCCCTCTTTGTTGATAGGTCACTGAATTATACTGGTCAGTTTTGCTGGATAACCTACTTTTAGTCTTATAATGAACTTTACATGCTCAAGACACACTATTTAATATATAATTATACTGAGTTTGCTAATATTTACAACTTTGTACCTTTTTAAAGGATGTTAATTTCTCTTTTCTATTGGCAGCAGCAGATCTGAACTTCATAAAAATACATGAGGACACTCTACTATTACTTGGGAAAATTAAGACTAGTTTATTTCTTCCTTAATTATTTAGAATTTACCAGTGAAGCAAAGGAGGAATTTTCTTTGTGGAAGGTTTTAATTAAAGATCCCATTTCTTTACCCTTAATAGATGTAAGACTCCAGATTTTCTAATTATTCTCATACCTGCTTCATTAAGATGTTCAAGGAATGTATTTCTTTCATTTGAATATATAATCAGCATAATTATTTTATGTTCTTTTTATTTTTACTAAGTATACAATATGTAGTAGTAATCACTTTTTCATCAAAGATAAACATTTGTATTTGTCTAATTGGTCCTTTGAGGCATCTGGGAATTACCAATTTTACCAATCTTTTAAAAATCTATACCTGAGACTGCTTAGATCCCATCTGGGTATGTTTATATTTGTTATTTTCTTGGCTTTTTAATGTTATTTCCTTACATGTCCATTTTCATTTTAAACATTCATTTACACTTTTGTGTGAGGAGGGTATGGGTGTATCTCAGGACACATGTGGCAGTCAGAGGACATCTAAGAGTTGGTTCTGCAAGGGACTAAACTCAGTCATGTCAGGCATGGCCGCAGCCACCTCTACCCACTGGGCCATCTCCCTACCCCAGTTTTGGTGTTTCCGTAACTATTTTTTACAGCAATTTAAACTTACAAGAAGACTGAACAAAAAGTGAAAAATTTCCATCTGCTGTCTTGTCTGCTCAACCTACATTATTACCCTCTTACATTGTTAAGGCACACTTGTCAAAACTGATAAACCAACACTAGTTCATTATTGTACCCAAAGGGTATAGTTGCACTAGGGCTTACAACAGAAGTATATCCTATGCTTTATTCTACAGCGCCCCACCACAGTGCTCTGCCTCTTCATTCTTTCATCCATCTTCAAAGCCTGGCAAGCACCACCTTTTCACTCTCTCCGTGGTTCTGCTTTATCCACATTATACTTGCAATCATATTCTTTGAGCTAACAAAATGCACTGAAGGTTCTTCTGTGTCTCTGTGTGGCTTGGCAACCCACTCTTCTTACTGCTAATAATAAACTATATGTATGTACCACAGTTTATCCACTTACCTACTAAAAGATACCTTGATTGTTGTCAAGAATTAGCATAAAGTTGCTGCAACTGTGTGTGTTTCAATTCTTCACAAAGATGAATGTTCTAAACTGATTTGAGTGAACACCTTAGAATGTAATAGATGAGTCATAGATAGTTTATGTAGCATTGTTTAAAACTGACAATAGTATCTGGTAGTCGCACATTTGGTATTCCCACCAGCTATGAATAATAGAGTTCCTGATGTTCTATGTCTCCACTATAGTATTAGGCTGTGTGTTGGATTTTAACCACTCTGGTTGCATAGTGTCATCTTCATTTTGTATTTATGTAGACCTATGCATTACATATAAGAACTCGAAGAAATAATTTCTTACCCATGGTAATGTTATTTTTCTTAAAGTCAAGTCATATTTGTTTCTGGTAGGCAGCTAGGAACATTAGCCATATGTGTAAGCTTAATTCACATTTAAGGACTGAGATTTGAAGCTCTGCTTCAATACAAAGTCAACATTTTTCAGTTGACTTTTGTCCAAGGATCCCAATCCAAAGCACTAGAGGATTTACCTGAACTCCTGTTTGTGGCACAGCCTGAACTCCAATTATTGCTCCCCACACCCACAAGGCTGTTCAAGCTTTGTTCCACTTCTTAGCCTCCCAGCTATCTCTTCTGGAATCAAAAGTTTCCCCTAAGGGAAAAGCAAACACAAGTACCATGCTCACCCTTCTAGGAACTACACTCCAGCACACTAGCTTCACTGACTTGCTAGCTCTCTGGGGTCTTCATGGAGATATTTATACAATTCTTCCAGGGGTTGTCATGGTGTCTTAGTCTTGTTCAAACTGTTCTAACAAAATATTTGAGATCTTAGATAACTTATGAACAATAGAAATGTATTTCTCCTTCTTCTGGAGCTTGGGAAGTCCAAGATCACAGTGCTGATAAAATCTGATGAGAACCTGGTTCCGCACAGATGGTGTCTTCTCATTGGAACCTAACAAAGGAGTAAAAAGGACAAAGACAGCTTTTTGTGGCCTCTTTAATGAGGGCACTGTCATTGTGACACAACTATCCCCCAAATATATTTTGTAGTAACTGCTTAGTGAGTCAGATGTCATCATATATTTAAGATGGGTCTCACTATGTGGCCCAGGCTAGTTTCAAACTCACAGCAATTACACTACTTTGGCTTTCTGAGTGCTGGGATTCAAGCGGTGCACCACCAAGCCTGGCTTAGAATTTCATTGTATAAATATGGGTAGGGGGACAAACAACATTCAGATCATAGCCTATTTGATTCCTATGCTTCCTAGTTGTACGTTAACAAAAGTACTACTTTCAGACATTTTAAGACAGCTAATTATTGTATGATCATGTAAATACACAATCTTAAAATCTAGTTGCATTTCTGCATTTACTGGTCATTTAAATTGCATTAAAATATAATACCAATCATTTTCAAGGTTTATTATTAATTACGTGTGTATGTGTCTATATGGGTATGTGCACATGAGTGCAATGCTTTCCGAGGTCAGAAGTACTAGATCCCCTGGAACTGCAGTAACAAGCGTTTGTGAGCCACCAGGTGATGTGGATCCCTCACCACAAACTTG